GTAATGAAGTTTCATCTCTTTTAGTTGTTCTCCTAATTTCAGAGCCATATAACACGACTGGTCTAATCAATGTTCTAAATATTTTGGTCTTGGTGTTGCGAGACAGACACTTGGACTTTAGCAGATGTTGAAGGGGCATAGTAAACTTTATTTCTAGTTTGTATCCCAGATTGTATTTCTTCTCTCAGCAGGTTGGGGCAGGTGGCTGATAATTTTATTTCTGTGGTCGCACAGAGAATACCTCTCATATCTGTTTAACAGATACCTTTGAGGAAAAGGTATGGGTGAATTTAATTAATTGTAATAAGGGGAGCCTGTTCTACAGACATAAATTAACATTCATTGCAGGCGTTATATGTTTCATAAACCTGTAGTGAAAAGACAAGGAAAACTATCTATTTAATCAATATTTTGCTCTTGTTTCATTTATAACCTGTTACTGACTGTTGGATATATTTTATAAAAAATAAAAAATAAAAAGTATGATGAATTACGGAATATTTTCCATGTTAAATGTTTGTATGTATAAGTGTCTCTTTTGTAAAAACATGTCTCAAACCTACTCACATATTTCTTTTTGTCTTTTCCCTACTCGCCAGCAGTCATATATAAAAAACAGATTACATCACTCGACACTTATATTTTATAGACACGACTTGTCGAGGGTCCTCTTGCTCATTTCTAACTGACTTAGTCTAAGATTGTTTTCAACCCAACTAAACAATTATTTGGCCATACCTCCGTCTGTTTATCTAACAAGCATCCTGAAGGGTTGTTTAGCCCTTGTAACACAGAAAACTACGGCTTTCTTTCTCATTCTCCAATATTTTTACACATAAAAGTACCCTTGTCACGCCATGCTTGACCAAGATAAACATAAAACCAACATTTTCTTTTCACTTTCTCGCTTCCCTTTAAAACATAAAAAAACGACAATCATCTTTCTCATTTCTACACACAAAACCACAATTTCTCGCTGCCATTTAAACATAAAACCACAGCACTTTCTTTTTCCTACTAGCTAGCACACAAATGACGTATTCTCATAATTCTTAGCCAAATCCCACACATAAAAAACATCAAATACTCAGATATAAAAAACACCATATTCTTTAATTCAAATTTCCCTTTTTATGGGTTCAGGTGTGGAGTTGGTATATTTTGTCTACTTTGCTGGTATTTATTACAATGGAGGACACAGCGCCGTATCGGGGGGTACACTAGCTCTCAAGTTCCGCGTATGTAAATGTGTTTGCTACTCTGATGCGGAGGTAATTTGCTTTAGCCACCTCCGCTTCCGCATCCACCAAACAAACGTGGCCAAACTCTCCTCTACTATTTCCCGTTATAAGGCCAGGCTTCTGTATTGCTGTAATCTAAATGAATTTTCTTGGCATCTATTTTAACTATTCTTCTCAACTCACTAACTAAACATACCCTAACCTACCAACGATTTCTTGTAAACTGACGACATTTTTTACTTTAAAATCACCATCTTGATAACTTGTACTCGACAAAACAGAAAGACCTTGCTGTATCATAGGGGACTTTAAATTACTTTACAAATTAAAGGGGTCGAAGAAGAAGAAGAAGAAGAAGAAGAAGAAGAAGAAGAAGAAGAAGAAGAAGAAGAAGAAGAAGAAGAAGAAGAAGAAGAAGAAGAAGAAGAAGAAGAAGAAGAAGAAGAATAAAAAGAAGAAGAAGAAGAAGAAGAAGAAGAAGAAGAAGAAGAAGAAGAAGAAGAAGAAGAAGAAGAAGAAGAAGAAGAAGAAGAAGAAGAAGAAGAAGAAGAAGCAGGCGAGGTGTACGGGAGGGGGGGGGGTGTCATCCCATACATCACTCTATGTGAACCGGCTTAATAGGAGAAAAAGACTGACACTACATCACTTTATGGAGTGCCCCCACACACCCCACTGCTGTTTTCCAATGCCTCCAATGCTCCCCCGAGGTGTTCCAGACCAAAATATATTTTTGCAACTTTTTAGAGATGAAAAGGCCGTCATCTTTAGAGAAAAATCCGTCTTTTAAAAAAAATACTTGGCAAAAACCTGGTGTAAAAAATGACTTCTGTGAAGAAAAATATGACTTCTAAGGAGAAAAATATGACTTCTGAGGGAAAATTCTAGAAAAAAATTCGCCATCTTGGGGAAAAATATTACCCAACAAGGTTTTATTTTTAAAGAGACGCCTCTGACAACTTGGAAAAATTTCGCCATCTTGGAAAAAAATGTCACCCAAATTTTTCGACCCTTTGAACTTCCGGATTAAGACATTTTTAGCTTGGTGGACTGGAGCTGTAGCAGACTGGAGCTGGAGCAGACTGGAGCTGGAGCAAACTGGAGCTGGAGCAGAGTGGAGCAGACTGGAGCCGGAAGTGATGACGTCTACGCCTGGAGCGCAACCCGATATTCTACTCTAAAACTACATATTCACGCGTGATGCTGTTTTATCAAAGTGGCGACATCTTTTGATCTGCGTTTGACTAATAATTTGTATACCCCTTAAAAAAACTATACAGTAATTGCACTAATGGAAATAGTTGGGAATTCATTTTACATGTGTAGCCGTGTGCATAGTGATTATTTTGACAGCTTATCCCACATACAATGTAAAATGAACACCTTGCGGCAGTCTAATGCTGGAGATGACCAGCTGAGAGTGAGACGCCTATGAAACGTGGGCTATCTGATGTTTTAAAAAGTTTCCGTAACTCAGGTGAGTTTAAGCTTGCTGACTGTTTGCTGTGAATCGATGTCTTTCATATACAGCAAGTAAGGCACAGTGAAAACTAGATGTTTGTTTTCATTTTTGAAAAGTAATAATTATTAACAAGTTGCATGCGACATTTCAACATCTTACAACGATAAATTGCTGAGTTGCATATTTTTTTAGCCCGGCTCTCTAGCGTAGTTGGCTAAACCGGATTGCGCGGTGACCGGGTGACGAACTCCTTGTGGTCCGGGTTCACTCCCAGTGGTAGGCAGAAAAGCCACATTTCTCCCAGATTTACGGTATTTATAATGGAATCAAGGCCGAAAGGTTGCGATATCCATAATACCGAGCCTAAGGGTTAACAACTCATGGCTTTTGGATACTAAAACAAACAAACAAACATATTTTTGAAGTTTGGCAAGACTTCTGGAATGGACTGTAGTTCCAATTTAAGGCTTTGTCTACCTGGTTAATTTCGAAATTAAACAGACAACCAAGTTTAAAAAAAAAAAGAAACATTAATGAAAAACCTTTCACACGACTAGCTTTTATCACTTGTATACATTACCAAGTGCACTACACCGATATAAAATAATTTATTGAATGGTATGTTAGACATATTATATTCACAATGACGTGTTTTATCACATTTATATTAGATTTGTGTCAGATAATTTAATGGATACACGAGTGTAGCTAACTATTTTTACCAACAGTAATCTATAATTGTATACAAGTGCAATAATTCTTGCTAACATGAATATTGGATCGTAGCTTTATGTTGGCTTCTGCAGAAATATCGAACACAAATTGCCATCGAGACAAACATTTTTAAATGTAATAAAAGCATTAAAAAAAATACAATTTAAAAAGTTGCGCATTGATGTGGATTCGAAACCTCAGGCTCCTGTTAACAGCTGTACCGATAACTTCAGCATCATCGTCAATTTCCACGTTCATCGTAAAGCGCCGGGAGAAAGAACAGTTTCTTATCTAACGCATGATGGGCAGCAATGGTTATTATCATTCCGTGTCGATGTAGTAAAAGTAAATAAAGTAAAGATCCCTTTTCACGCCCTAGGTACATTGGGTACATGGGAAGAGCGTCCTATACTTTTACAGACCAATCGGCACTGGATGGGTAATGTGGTCAGCATTACGCCGGCCGTCTTTACTTCCCCAGGTCAGCCATCCTGGTACCCATTTTAGACTGGGTCTACCTGCGACGCCCCATACCATGATAAAAATCCACGCAGCCAGCAGTGGGTTTCGATCACGGTATTTTGGATTACGAGTCGGACTCGCAACGCCAAAGCCACGGACTCCGCATGTCGAAGTAGGAGCTCTTTTATGTCATCAGTCAATCCTTCCCAGGACAACCTCTTGCATTCACATTAGATCTGTTTTTATACATCGCATATGTTGGTAGTTGTTTTTCTGGCTGCATTCTTACTAGATGACCAAACCATTCGATCTTCTGTTTCTCGTTGCTGCATTGTGTTGTTTCACAACTCTGATAATATAATTTCTTTCTTATTTTTCCTTCGTCTTTGTTTACGTCTTTTTTTTTTTTTTTTTTTAAATGTTCAAGTCTGGCACTGTGCTAGTACGAATATACTGTTTATACTCTGTTTTGTGGTTCTCATATTTATGTTTGGATGTTTTAATAACGGTGTCAGTTAGTATATAAATGTACTGGTTCGTTGGCATCGTCTTGATATATCTCGATGTATCCCCTCGTCCTCTGAGAATATAAAAGGTGTTGTTAAAGTCTCCCCTATACATTTTATTTAGAATTAATGTGGAAAACAATTTACATAATGTCATCCAAAAAAATATTCTCCGCATGGCGGATTGTAATAACTAACAGCAGCTGGCCTGGTATCAGTAATGAGGAGCAGGAGCCGATGAACACGAAGATGGGTGCAGGATATAAGTAACTCTTTGGATATGAAAGTATACGAGGCGGGATAGCAGGCGAGAGAGCGAGTTTCTTTCAGGCACACTGTGATGATAGCGAAGTTCTGCAAAGGACCTGCTATATGGTGATGGTGATACAAAATGATGTGAGACTTTAGAACACCCTGTACTTCCTAGATATTCAGCTGTTTTAGCTTGCTTCAGACAAGTACCATTGAACACTATATATATAATAAAAATGTATTAAAGCAAATACAGACCCAAAAAAAGCTGATATGATCATGATGACCATAAAGTGTCGAATGTTTTGATTAGCTTAGTAAATATTAGCATTTATTTAAACTGACAAATCTGACGTGTCCCTGCAGATAAGATCGCACAGAACAAGACCAAGACGGCGATGTGGATCGTTAGTAAATGTTCGACACCAAACAAGAGATGGGAGTACGTCAAGGAGATGCAGGTAAATCAGTAAACGTTATGATCATATTAGCCCTTTTGGCTTAAATAATAATGATACATGACAATTCTCAATAAGATAATTCATTATATATTTACAGATGGTTATATGTTGAGAGATAGAACAGTGCATCGAGACATATATCAAAAAGCGAACTGAAGTCCCTAGGTGCACCAATATTGTGTTGAATAATAACACAACATTTAGTTTGAAAATGAAGGTGGAGGCAGTCACTGCATTTTGTTTGCTGGCTTCAGAACCAGCTAGTTGTACACCAGTGTCATGCTTATAACAGACTCACAAAACTTGTCAAGAAAAGTGAAGCCAGATATGCTCCGTGCTGTGTGGCATTCTTCGATTCAGGCATCTTGTTCGGTTAGTAAAGTTGAATACCCTTTTTCATACCTTCAAGCGTATTGGGTATATAAGGCTAGCCCTATATTTTATAGAGTATACGACACTTGGTGGGTGATGTGGTCAGCATCACGCCGATCTCCTTTACTTTCCAGGATTCTACTTGGTACTCACTCAAGGCTGGGTCGACCTGGGAGCCAAGGTCATTTTAGAAAAAGGTCAGGACCCGAACCCACGACTTTCGGATCGACAGGCGAGCGTCTAGACGCTAGACCACGGCGGCTCCCTCCAGCGTAGTTGGCCTACTTTAAGTATTTGTTTCTGGATCATACAGGTGAATTGAACATGAACAGAGGGATAGATTTGCTGCTTTGGAACCCCTTTTATACTAAGATGATGCATGACAACTGAGATGTCGCCGAGCCCTTTGCAAGCGATTAAAAAGTACGGAGGAACTATAGATCAACAAGGTTGGAAGACAATGGTGCTGCGATGCGTCACCAGGGGATTTGGCTGATATAACACTTTAGTAAAAGGCAAGATGGACTTATATATTATTATTGCTATACATCGTGCTGTTAATTATTATTGTTAGAATAACAATCAGTAACTTGCAACTTGTAACGCCGGCGGCTGCTGATGGGAAGAGAGCTTATGGAAATTTCCAAAGTGTCGTCAGATCAGTTAACTCGACTTAACACCATCGGGTCGTGAAATGAACAGCTTTTCATTTATCAGTTCAGACGTGCGGCTAGCCGAAGAGTTAAGTACGCTGGGCTTTCAAGTAAGAAACCTAAGGTTGGAATCCTCGCTGAGGTCGTGTGCTTTTCCTTTGTTTATTTCTTACAAATTTCTATAGTGCGTTTCAAAAGTCACGCCCGTACTCTCTAAAAAATATATTGAACACCCCTTTACAACGCGAATGTTTGCATGTGGATGTAGGTTTCCCTTATTAAAGTGATTTTAGAGTCTACAAAAGCACATGTGCTGCTGTTTTCTTAAAGAGGTGAATTTCTTTGATATTTGTTTGACTAACAATGTATGTCGCCCTAAAATATAGAATATACAGTAACTAATACACGCAGAGAGACTGTTTGAAAATCTATTCAGATGTTTAGCTATGTGTGTTATTTTTTTGCATAGTCTATCCTGCATACAAATAAAAATCCACAACTTACAGATCGCTAACGCCGAGAGGGAAAAGTCCCTGCAAATCAGTATTGGAAAAAACCCAAATCCGCCTCGATGGAGATGCGAACACTAGATCTTCGGATTGTCAAGTGAACGTCTCCCCATTACGCTCTCTCCCCCCCCCACCCCCCACCATCGCCAATTGCTGGCCCTGTTAAAATTACAGTTATCATCAGCATGTGCAATGCTAATTAATGTTGAAAGATCACCAGAACCAAAAATCAGATCAGTACTTGTGTCTTTCACTATCCATGCGGTTATCACTCCGCATCGCCCCTCATCTGTCCTTGCTCTAAAAGCCTATCAACTGTCACCAAGTTCTTCAGTCTTGGAGTGACCAGAGGATCTGGCCGACATTCTACAAGAAAGGCAAGAAAGGCAAATTATTAAACTGCTAAAAATTGAGCCGTGTTAGCGCAGTCGATAGGAGACTCGCTTTTAAATCCAGCTGTGACTCATTGCAGCCCACGGTCGGTGTTCGAAACCGGGCGGTTCCTGGGGTTCAATGAGCTCCCTCAAAATAGGTACAAGAGTTAACACTCTGGGGTAAATGAAGGAACGTCGCTGTAGCTACGGAGTTTCGTGCGGACAGCGACACAGGCGGACAGTTTCAAATCAGCTGTTCCTACTGGTGGCAGAGCACTTATGGTTTACAACCGTGTGCAAGTGACGATGGTTCACGTATCGCGACTTTACCTTTTCAAACAGATAATCGCACAGACGGAATTAGAAACCTTCCCTGGCTGCTGAAGACGAGGACGAAACACTTACGGGAAAGTCCCAAGTGCTGTGATGACAGTTCTTAACTAAACTGAACTCACCCAACTTTGTAGTCTAATCGTTCAAATAATGTGTTAAAATTATACGTTTACAAAATGTGCAAAGTGCGATATATTAGATTTTAACACACATTTTACTATATATTCCTCAGAAAGTATATTGACGTAGATATCGGTGGAGCTTGCGGACACCCCTGCAGCAGATCGCACTTGAACTGCGACAACTGGGCCACCGAATATAAATTCTACCTCTCCTTCGAGAACTCTCACTGCAAGGATTACGTCACTGAGAAGTTCTTCAAGTTATTTGAGCAAAATGTTCATGTGATTCCTGTTGTAAGAGGCAGTGCTGATTACAACAAATACTTCCCTGAGTTTACCTTCATCAACACTGCTGACTTTAAGACGGCGAAAGATTTGGCTCTTCATTTAAAACATTTGGCCTCTGATCTACAGACGTACAGCAAGTACTTAGAATATATAGACCTTTACTTAAAATCTCCAAATATCGATCACTTGTGTGGGATTTGCTCGTTTGTGCAAACTCATGAGTTACCCGCTTCGAAAGCGTACAATTTGAGAAGATGGATTAATGACAACCATTGTTACAATCCTACAGATATCTAACACTGCATAATTATTTTTGTTATTTTTCCATGTTCGGACCCTTTTTCATGCTTCAGGCATAGTGACCATACAGGCCTGGACCTTTTTTTTATAGAGTAAACGGCACATCGTGGGTGATATGGTCAAAATCACACCAGCTGCATTGACTTCCCACGACTGCACCTGGTACCAACCCATCTAGATTCCGGCTGCGGCCACGATCGGACCCGTTTGAGCTGGCCTCTCAAATTTCAGATTCTTGAAAAATGTGAATGTTCACATCAAGATATTGTTTATATCAATGTGCGTATTATTCTTGTGGATTTTCGGAGGAATTATTAACAGCTAGATTTATCTGATGGTTTTGTTTTAATTGTAAAATTCCAATGGAAATATTAAGGCAAAAACATAATCTTTTTGGCTGTACCCAATGTTGATAGCTTGTGTTGCTAGTGTGGTCATAAACTAGGCCAAACAATCTGAAGGTGGTTCAGCCTGTGTTTTGTGCGCGCAGCTAGTGAAGCGAAACAGTTTGCCCGGCACAAATAATGTCAACCCACCTGCGCCCATCGACGCTAGCCAAACGCAGCGACCAAGATCTCCAGCACATCACCTGGTTGTGTAACACCTACAACTCCAGCTCAGATTGTCGCTGTTTCTAGCGAGCAGATAAAAACGTAGGGGTAAAACTGAACATATACACTATTTCATATGACAATATGCCACAATATCATTTTGTAGCCACTAACACCATCACTTGAACTAAGTGACTGCACTTGACTAAAAGATTGCAAACATTCACCAAAATGCTCAATGGACACTAGAGCAGTGGGTGCCGGTACTGCCAACATAAAGATTAATTATTTATGTTCATGCAGTAGCAGTCCTGATTGTAATGAAACTCATTCAGGCACTGGAGGTCAGACTTAGGCTTCTTATGTCCTCAAGCTGTTTAGACATTATTTTCCAGTTTAAGGACGAAACTATGTTACTCAAAAAAGAAAATACTAGCATTTAGAAAAGAGAATATCTCCCTTAAGAAAACAATCACTGAGGTAAAAAGTGCTTTGTCAAAGGAAGCCACCACTGAACAAGGCACTACCAATAAAAGAGCATTATTATGTGTGAACAGTGAAAGTCACCAAGAATCCACTAGAACACATTTCTGCAGCCTATCGAAAGAACACTATCCATATACCCAAGTAGGGTAAATGCAAGCAAAAGGTTCCAGGGCCTGAATGCTAATAATGAACCACATGTCCTATCTGTCTCCTCGTCCTTGAACCAACAGTAATCTCAGTCGACCCACCTGAGTGCAGATCAATATCCAGATGACAGTCGCCAGTGGCAGCAACAGCGCTCCAGACGGACGCGGCAGCATCCGGTATTTAACATGGACTTTAGCGTCACATATCTGATCTTTATGCGATTCCCTGATGAAAGGGATCTACAGTGACCGCATGACAACTTCTCACAATGAAACTGTAGCAGTTCATCCTTTGCCAGGAGAGGATACGATGGGCTGATTGCGACCTTAAAGCGATCAGATTGCAACTGTAATATTAACAGCTCATGTGGGTATAAACAACATTACGAACAATGAGAGCATACGCACCTCACAATTATTCACACTGCTGGCTCTAATGCGCACACAATTTCCGAGTTCAGAAATGTTTTTAACCTCAACAATTTCTCCATATTATGGCTATCAGAGAGGCGCATGACTGATGCCTTCATTAATCACACCCTGCACTTCATCTCGGAGATTTGAAGAAAAAGTTGTATCGTGACCAAATACACTGCTCCAAACTGGCATGAGTATTTTGGCAAAAAAACGTAAAGTATCCACAGCGCACACAACATTTAGCGCCTATGACAGAAGTGCCTTTAACATTACCTGTAACTACCATTCATCACCGCTCACGAAGTAATGTATTTAGTAATGTAGTTTCTCCATCGCCAAACTCGCCTTCATCTGCCGGACATTTCCCTGTGCATCATAAGCAACAGTCTGTTTTTTCAGCAGCGAATTATGATGTACTATTTCCTCCCTTGCTTGTAAACCAGTCTACTCAAGTAAAAGCCAAAGAAACGTCCTCAGACGATCTTGTCATTTCCCAAATGTTTGCATTCAGTGTAGGGCCTACAGTCATACTCGCAGTAGCCACCCTTCAGTGCACAGTCGCAGGGTTCAGATTATTGGAAGTCAAGCCTTTCAATCAATCACTTTTCATTTGTTGCCTCTAACGAAATCAATGTGCAGGTAACAACTGGTTTGACGACTTCACTTCTATGATGGATAGAGTTTTTAGTTTAAGGAAGGAAATTATTCTGCTTTGAAATTTTAACATTGACAAAAATAAACCCAACCAGACATGGGCGCGATATCATTATATAATATAATCTAAAACAGCAAACTAATTCTGCCACGAGAGTTACGGAATCTTTATCAACTATAATTGATCACAAATATGTCTCTTATTCATCAATTATCAATGAATTTTCTGTCCCTACCACTGCTAGCAGCAAAAATTTTCCAGTATGCAGTACGTGATCAACACCGGGTTCAAAACTCCTAAAGATATACATCTGTTGAAAATTTTTTTAATGATTTATGAAACTCACAGCTAGACCATGTATTTCAGCTTTCTGAACCGGACGAGGCTATAGCCTACTGGAGAAAACGGTCTAGACTGTATTCGATAAACATGTGTCAATTAAAGAAATTAGAGTGAAACATAAAACTAAATCGCCCTAGATTAAAAGTAAAGTTTTGGAATGTATGAGAGATTGAGATACGGCACACAAGAATAACGATTTCGAACTTTACCGTCAACTGAGAATAAAATTACAACATTTAATTCGTAAAAACAAGACAGATCACTTTAACAAATTAGTTACACACACACGTACACACACGCACAAACAAAACAAATAGTGCAGAAATATGGAAAGCTATTATTACGATAACCAACAAGAAATCTTCAGACAGAACAATATCGAATTATCTAACGTGTGGTGATTTCAGTTCTTTCTTTAAATCAGAAATAGATTATTTAAAGTTCACAATAGCGGACTCAGTGTGACAAGCTTATTAGCATTATTCTGTGAGGAAAAGCGCCCTACAGTTATCCTGTCTGAGATTCCACTTATTTCTGTTGATGACGTGTATAAATATCTTTCTAGCCTCAAGCAAACGAACTCCTCTGGCTTGGATGAAGTCAGTTTTCAAATTCTCCTATGTGCTGCACCAGTTATTAGCTATTCCTTTAAGTGTATATTCAATCAATGTTTTACTAAAAACTTTTTTTCCATCAGCCTGTGCGTCTGCGTGTGTATCTGTGCATGTGTTTGCACATGTCTGTAAATTTGTTTGCGTGTCTGTGTTTTCTACGTGTATGTGGCTATGTGTGTGCCTGCGTGTGCGTCTTTGTTGTGTTTGTGTGTGTTTGTATGGGTCTGTGTGTATATGTGTGTCTGCAATTGGGTGAGTGTTGTGTGTCTGCACAAGTGTGTCTGTGCGAGTGTATCTGTGTGTGTCTGTGTGTGTTTGTACACTGTGTGTGTGTGTGTATCATTATGTGCATGTTTCGGTCTGTGCGCATATATATATAAATATATATATATATATATATATATGTTTTGTGTGTATCTGTGTGTATCTGCATTTGTTTCTTCGGGCGTGTCTGTGTGTGCATGTGTGTATCTGAATGTATGTATGTGTGTGAAATGTACGTGTCTGTGTGGGTAGGTATTATGTGGATGAATAAGAGTGTGTTTGTGTGTGTGAGAAGGTATGTGGGTGAATGTTGGCGTGTAATAATGCGTATTTAAGTGAGTGAATGAGAGTGTATGTGTGTGTGTGTGTGTGTTTGCGCGCGCATGCGCTAGCGTGTGCGTGCATTTTACCACACTAGCATTTGTATGTTTGGTTTTATTGATATTCATAATATGCACATTATCAAATTAAATTAACATACTTATTGATAAAATACAGCTGCAGTGTAAAAGACGGATGTTTGGAAGGGACAAAGGTAAGACGGGTCTGCGTGCCCAATTTGTGACCCTTTAAAAAAAGTTCGCTCTTTCGTTCGTTCAAGGCGTGGTCGACCTGGAAGGCAAAGCCATTTCTGAAAACAAAAAGCTGGTTCTGTCAGGACTCAAACCCACAACATTCCGATCCACAACCGAGCGTCTAGCCGCTACACCACTCAATCCAATGTTTATAAGTTTTATCAGATATGTTTTTGAATCCAGTAAATTTTTTATCCACGTCTTATTAAAAATGCTTATAGCAATTTGAACTTACGATGCATACATAAAATATCATTCCTGTGTTACAGATGAGTTGATTGATTGATGTTTTACCCCACTAGAATATCAAACCAAGCGATAAAAATCTGGTGACACAAAGTGTCACCATTCGGATGAGGATCATCCGTGGAGAAGTCCCGGAAACCCAGTTCAACCCATGGGTCGGATTATATTAGTGCAAGAGCCAGGATGGGGCTTCAAAATGACAACAACACAAATGCTGCCCGCATGGGAACGGAAACAATATTCGATGAGTGTTTGGAAGGGCCGTATTAAAGACAAAATTAGTGCTCAATAAATGGCTCTTTGAATATGAATTTCTGTCATTCAGATTTCTGTTAACAATCAACCAACCATCCAGTTAAGTATTCAATCAACCAACCGGTTAGGTATCCGATCGACCAAAGAAGCATCCAGTGAAGCATCCAATCAGCCAATCATCCAGTTAAGCATCCAATCAACCAAACAATCCTCTGGTTGTTTATTTAATCAATCAAACAACCATCCAGTTAGGCATCCAATCACCCAACTGTCCAATTAGGCGTTCAATCAACCAACCATCTAGTTAAGCATTAAATCAACTAACTATCCAGTATAGTATCTAATATTATACTACAGTTCTCAGAGTCGCACTGGTTCTCTCTCTCTCTCTTTCTATCTCTCTCTCTCTCTCTCTCTCTCTCTCTCTCTCTCTCTCTCTCTCTCTA